AAAAGATGGTTTCTGGTCTGCCTTCTATTATTTGTATTGATGATATTTGCAAAAGTTGTATTTATGGGAAGCAGCATCGCTTACCATTTCTAGTTGGAAAAGCTTTGAGAGCAAAGATGCCTCTAGAACTCGTTCATGCAGATATTTGTGCCCGACAAATACTCCATCCTTAAACAAGAGTAGATATTTTCTTGTTGTTTACTGATGATTATACTCGCATGAGTTGGGTTTACTTTTTTACTTACAAATCAAAAGCTTTTAAGAAATTTCAGGAATTTAAAGCTTTTGCAGAAAAAGAAAGTGGGCATGTTTTAAAAACTCTTCGAACTGATAGAGGGGGAGAATTCCTATCAAATCAGTTTGAGTCTTTTTGCAAGCTAAATGGCATTCGAAAGCAATTGACGGTAAGAAGAACTCCTGAACAGAAAGGGGTCGCCAAAAGAAAGAATAGGATAGTTGTGGAGATAGTTAGAAGTAATATTTGCGAAAGTTGTATTTATGGGAAGTAGCATCGCTTACCATTTCCAGTTGGAAAAGCTTTGAGAGCAAAGATGCCTCTAGAACTCGTTCATGCAAATATTTGTGGCTCGACAAATACTCCATCCTTAAACAAGAGTAGATATTTCTTGTTATTTACTGCTGATTATACTCGCATGAGTTGGGTTTACTTTTTTACTTACAAATCAGAAGCTTTTGAGAAATTTCAGGAATTCAAAGCTTTTGCAGAAAAAGAAAGTGGGCATGTTTTAAAACTCTTCGAACTGATAGAGGGGGAGAATTCCTATCAAATCAGTTTGAGTTTTTTTGCAAGCTAAACGGCATCCGAAGGCAATTGATGGTAAGAAGAACTCCTGAACAGAAAGGGGTCGCCAAAAGAAAGAACAGGATAGTTATGGAAATAACTAGAAGTTGCGAAAGTTGTATTTATGGGAAGCAACACTGCTTACCATTTCTAGTTAGAAAAGCTTTGAGAGCAAAGATGCCTCTAGAACTCGTTCATGTAGATATTTGTGGCTCGACAAATATTCCATCCTTAAACAAGAGTAGATATTTCTTGTTGTTTATTGATGATTATACTCGCATGAGTTGGGTTTACTTTCTTACTTACAAATCAGAAGCTTTTGTGAAATTTTAGGAATTTAAAGCTTTTGTAGAAAAAGAAAGTGGGCATGTTTTAAAAACTCTTCGAACTGACAAATATTGGAAAATAAAAAAAGAGGAGAACCAACTTTGCTCTGTTTTGGAAGCCAAAAAAGACTGAAACTGATATATATTATTTCTAAAAACACAGAGATTCTAAATCACCACTCTATTACACTGCATACGGCATATGTTAATTTATAGATAAAACATATGTAGTAGTTATCCCCACATTCTTAGAACATGCTGAAAGATAAACATAAAAATATGAACCACTAAACATAAACATAAAAAATAGGAACCACTATCTCCACTTCCTATTCTGTAGTTAACAGCCAAACACTAAACCCACTAAACTAGGACACTAAAAACGTGGGTGAATTAACTACATCAAGGATAGATTTGCATCATCAATTTTCATCACTCCCCCTTGATGCAAAACTGGAAACACCAAGAGAAGATATGAATTTAACAAATTTCAAATAAGAGAGTGCTTTGGTGAATCCAGCTGCAACTTGATCATTGGTTAAACAATACTTCATCATAATTATTCCTTCCGCAACAACATCCCAAATGAAATGGTGACGGATTTCAATGTGCTTTGTTCTTCCATAAAAAACTAGATTATTTGTCATTGCAGTTGTAGCCTGGTTATCACAATAGATCTCTATCTCCTCTCTCTGACATTGATGCAAGTCTTCCAAAATTCTTCGCATCCAAATAACTTGACAAGCAGTTAATGAAGCTGTATAATACTCAGCTTTTGAAGATGATAATGCAACTGTTGCTTGTTTCTTTGAAACCCAAGACACAGCTCCCAAACCAAGATTGAAGATAAAAACACTTGTACTTTTCCTATCATCTGTAAAACTAGCCTAATCATTGTCAGTAAAACCAAGCAATTTAAAATTAGGAACTGGTTTATACCAAATCCTAAAATTACTTGTTGCCCGAACATAGCGAAGAATCCGTTTTGCTGCTCTAAGATGATGTGCAAAAGGATTATGCATAAATCTTGAGATTAAACTCACTAGAAACATGATATCCGGTCTAGAATGAGTCAAATACAACAATCCTCCAACCATGCTTCTAAAAACCTTTTCATCAGCCTTTGGAGTCCCATAAGTCATCAATAACTTCTCACTTATATTCATGGGAGTAGAAAAAATCTTGAAATTTGACATATTAAATTTCTTGAGCAAATCCAATGCATATTTTTCTTGAGAGATAAAAATACCATTAATAGTTTGCTGAACTTGAAGACTAAGAAAAAAATGCAATAACCCCAAATCAGACATTTCAAACTCTTGCATCATACTCTCCCTGAATTCTTTAATAAAGAAGCTAGAAGATCCAGTGTATATAATATCATCCACATATATACATGCAATGAGAATATCATTACCTTTTGCCTTCACATACAAAGTAGGTGCACTATCACTTCGATGAAACCCATTTTGACGAAGATATGAATCAAGTCTACTATACCACGCTCGTGGAGCTTGCTTTAATCCATATAAAGTCTTTTTTAATTTGTAGACTTTCTCCCAATTTCCTTTGATGACAAATCCCTGTGGTTATTCAACATACACATCTTCTTCCAAATACCCATTTAAAAAAGTAGGTTTAACATCAAATTGAAATACTTGCCATTTCATTTGAGCTGTTAAACTTAAAATCAATCTGATAGTTTCAAATCGATCAACTGGGGAAAAAGTGTCAAAAAAGTCTATACCATACTGTTGCATATACCCTTTCGCAACGAGCCTTGCCTTGAATTTTTGCACAATATCATCTGAATTGTACTTCACTTTGTAGACCTATTTCACACCAATTATATCATTCTCTGGTGGCAAGTCAACTAGCTCCCATGTTTTATTTTTTTTAATTGCTGCCATTTCTTCTTGCATAGAATTTTCCCACTCTTGTATTCCTTGTGCCTCCTTATAACTCACAGATTCATAACTCACAGGTTCTTAAATCATAAGAGTAAAAGTGCATGACTCATAAATTTCTTTTAGAGACCGAAACTTACATGGAGGTGTATCAGTGTCAAGAGTAAGATCCATGTGGCTGTTGTCTTCATTACTTAGATCCCTTGAAGGAGTGCTCCCTGAAGAACTTGATGATGGAGAGGATTTTGGAGTCGTTACTTTCTCTATACTCTGTGTCAGCTCAGCTTCATCTTCAACAAATGGCACAATCTGATTTTTTTCACTCTCCCAATTCCAGAAACTATTTTAATCAAAAACAACATCTCTGCGAATAATTAGTTTCTTAGTTTCCAGATTATACAACCGATAGGCCTTGGTTTCATCACTATACTCAACAAAGATACATTTCTCACTTTTCCTATCAAACTTGGTACTGTCATTTGAGTCGATCAAAGAATAAGCAATACTACCAAAAACTTTTAAACAACTTACATCGGGCTTTCGTTTTCACCAAGCTTCATACGGAGTTATATTACGCACCGTCTTTGTTGAAGATATATTAAGGAGGAAGACTGAAGTTGCTACTACTTCTGCCCAAAAATCATTTGGAAGCCACTTTTCACTCAACAGTGATTGGTTTTGTCATGAGATAGATTGGGTGGTGATAGGCAAAAAAAAAAAACCAAGAAAAAAAAGAAAGATTGGGTGGTGATGATGGTGGTAGAAGTGATGGTGGAGGTGATATATATATATATATATATATATATATATATATAGATATATATGATTCTATCGGTGTAAGGTGGTGGTGTGACTGGTACTGGTGGTGGTTGGTGGCGATGGAGAGGAAGGTGGAAATTGGTTTGAGCGAGAGCGAAGAGGCTGACAAGGACAAAAGGAAAACGGGTTGAACCCGCAAAAAGGGGCATTGCCTATCTTAGCTTTAATATTTATTGTTGGACCCTTGTCAACGCGTTATTGTGCCAAGTCGCTGGGGAGATGAACTTCACCCACCTTCCTCATGATGCAAGTATTATTAAAAAAAAAGGGGAAAGAATGAAATGTTACATGAGAATCCACATAAACACAGCCTATAAATAAAAACAGAGATTTTTATTTTCAATCTCTTAGTATTTGAGCTGGATTTGTGTTATAAAATTATTTGGTGCATGTTGTTAAATGATTAATATAAAAAAAATGGATTTTGAGTTATAGCTTTCTGTTTATATAACATTAATATATAGTACTGGTAATTAAATTAACCACTTCACTGGTGGGCATTAGAGTCACTGTCGATAAAGTAGATATCATATTCTGAAAAAAAAAAAAAAAAAATCTCGAACCACGTACAAACTACTGTAAAAATTAAGTTTCTAGCATGTAGAGTACGTTATTCAGATGCACATATGTACATACACACACACAACTCAATCATTCTTTATGAAATCATTTAATTTCTTTCATATATGTCGGTAAGACTAATCCTTGTGCATGTATGTGTCACCAAACTGTGCCTATCGCCTGACTTTCTGTCCTCCAACAACTTCAAGACATGACATACTATAACAGTAAGGTGGCCTTTCTCAAATCGCATTCAAAACCTAAAAAAAATTGATTGTTAAGGCCTGTTTGGGTAAGTTTTGTTTTTGCTGTTTTTATTTTTAAGTTATTACCGTATTGATTTTGACAATAAAAATATGTTTGGTGTGGTTTTATTTAGTGTTAAAACATAACTCAAAACAAAACAATAAATTTTTTTATTTTATTTTATTTTATTATTATTATTATTTTTTTTACAACTATTCATAGCCCAAAATTATAATAATACCGTTACCAGACGTATTTTTGATTTTTTTTTTTCAAAACAATTTTAGAGCAAAAATATCATTGTTTTAACCAAAAACAAAACTTCTAAAACAACCCAACTCCAGTCTTCCACGCGACGAGTCCTCTTTCTCTCTCTCTCCAAGACTTATCATTGAGTGCGCGCTACCATTCAGTCTTCCCTCTCTCTTAGCATCAAGTCTTCCCTCTTTCTCTTTTCAAGAAAAGTATTACCGTGGAACTATATGTCTCTTACTTGCATTAATTAGCTCAATTATATATTGAACATCTCATGCCACTTCTCTCTAGTATAATCCATTTTAGCATTTGGTTCATTTCATCATCTCATTTTTAGCTCTACGTACTTACTTAATTTACTAGAACATGTTCTTCTCACGACGTCATCTTACTTGTTCAGTTATTATATTAATTTGCTTGGCCACTTTTGCATCTGGCGAAGCTACTCTTCCAACGGATGAAGGTATGTGTGTGTGTGTGTGGTTGTTGAGTTCTTTCATTTTAATTTTGATAAACTTCAAAATAGTAAGGTTCGACGTATATGAAGAAAGAAATGAGGGGTACATATATATGTATGTAAGTGATCATATATTTCTGTGTATATAAGATTTATAAATAATACGAGCATCTGTGTTTTACATTTTTGCAGTGGAATTATTGAAAGAAATAGCAACGACGCTTGGAAAGACGGATTGGAATTTCGGTGTAGATCCATGCAGTGAAGAGAGAAGTTGGGCCAACCCAAATCCAGTTGAAGGTTTTGAGAATGCAGTCACCTGTAATTGCTCCTTCTCCAATGGCACCGTCTGTCATGTTGTTAGCATGTACTCTCTCTCCTCTCTCTCTCCCCACTTGTTCATCTATCCTTGTCCTTTTTCATTTATCCTTTTTATTAATTATGAAATGTGTGGATGTCAAATACTGACAACACGGATACATATGTCTTATAGTAGCCGTTGAAGAAACAAAGGAAATTACCGTTTAGCCCTTACTTTGAAGGGCGTCATTTTAGTTCTATTTTGCTGTTGATAAGCTGACGTGACTATATAATATGCAGAAACAATAGAGATGCAACACCTAACCTTATCCATAACATCGCCAAACATATCCCATATGGACATGGCTACCGCCTGTGATAGAGAGAGAGAGTCACCTGGATATGGATATTTGAGAGGGAATTGCTGAAAATCAATACTGAACAAGAGGAATTGCTGAGACTGAAAGTAAGGACTTATATAGATATAGTCTTTAACTGTCATAGGGTATATATGATATTTTATATTTTAACCAAGGCACATGGGGCACGTGTCTCCTCTTACCGTTAATACTTAAGCGGTCAACCGTAGTTTCAGATTTTGTAACAAATGAGATAGTTCAATGGATTAAGTATATTCTTTAAAGTTTAGGGATGTTTTTTTGAAAAAAGAATAAAGTTTAGCAAGGTTTAGTGTACTTTATTATTATTATTTTTTTTTTGTTTTTTTATTTATCTCTAACACATTAAATTTTAAAATAATCAGATATAATATCGTTAGAAAAAAAGAAAAAAGAAACTGAGAATTTCTAAAATAAAAAAGTATTAAGATATAGTAAGTACTTGTAATGTTTTTTCACATGGAAATGTTACAGAATATATATATTTTTTCCTATGTTCAACCATATATAGATTGATGTTCAACTGCTGTTTTTTTTTAGGGAGTAATAACCCATTATTTCAATTACCTTTGAATATCATTATGGTGAATGGACAAAAATAGATACTCTCTCAAAGGAAAAAAAAAAAAAAATTTCAAGATTTTTGGTGCTCATTCTTTGCAATCCAAAGTTGATGAAAAATTCAGAGAGTTGCTGAGTTGTCTTCTTCCCACAAGATAAGATTAATTATTCATGAAATATAATTTCTATGTTAAACGACGGTTTTTTCATTTCGTTTCGATGGTTGAAATACAAGTTCATTGACTAATAGAAATAAAAATTAGCAGTTTTCTAATTGACTTTGGATGGTTGAAATATATGTTCTTGAAGTAGAATTAATCATTCTTGAATGCTGGAGAATGAGTAGAGGTCTAATGAGTAAATAAAAGATTCCATGGACTTATAGCCGATATAAGTAGTACCAACAATGAAATCTATTCCGTTCTCCCATTAAAACCGACAAAGATAAAATATAATATGAAGTTGTTGTTCTAAAATTTCAACTTAAATAGACATCACTATTATTCTTGTTTGTTTTCATAAAATACGTTTTTTTTCCTTTCTTATTTATTAGTTTTTCATAGCCCTTTCCTTATCTTTTTATAAGAATTTGATTTGTACAAAATTTATAACAAAAATTACAATGTTTTTTTACAATTTTAATTTTCAGTACTTTACAAAAATAAAATTAAAATTCCTCTAGCTCCTTATTCTAAAAATTTTCAGATAGATCATCAACTTTTTAATAACCAGGGATACAAAATATAATTATACATAGGAAATGTCTAAAGAATCTCAAGACTTGTTACAAAGATGCAATGTGATGTATATATATAATGGAAACACAATTTGATATACATGGTAATTGAAACTTTAATAGTCAACAAAGATACTAGATTAAGATGAAACCTCAAAAAGGGATTTACAACTTTCTAAATAGTTAATTACCTTATATTTTAATATGAGTCCCATTATATTTAACACATATATAGCCGCATAGAGTTGATGAAATAGTAAATTTTCATTTATCGGACTAAATAGCAGGACTCAAAAAAAATTAAGGATTTATGTAATTTTAATGGCTTCCAATTTAATTAATCTTAGATTTTTTTTTTTTTCCTTGCGAGAGTGTCTACTTTTGTCAATTTACTCTAATGATATTTAAAGGTATGGGGTGTAAATTTCCTAAAACATTGAAATGAAATGTTTATCGTCAGATTAGATCTTAAGGCTATGATTAAAAATGAGTATACTTTACTTTTTTTCAATTACACTCCACTTAACAAAAAGGTTATTGAATTCATTAATGCATCATACTTTATTTTATAATATCTTGAATTCATTAATGTATCATCCCTTATTTTATAATATCATAACTACTCTTTATACAAAAATAATTTTTTTTCACCTTCTTTACTTCCTTTACTATATATATATATATATATATTTTCCTCTGCTATACTTTTTTAGGTTCTCTCTCTAAGAAGACAATTTATTCAAAAATAGAAAATTTTATTTTTGGCATTCAAAAGATATATATATATATTTTTTTTGGTCCAATTAAAACAGAAAATTTATTCAACACAGTAAACCTTTTTCGGATTCTTTTTTTTTTTTTTTTTTTTTTTTTTTTTTTTTTTTTTTAGATTCCTTCAAGAAAAAAAAAAAAAAATTTATTCAATAGATATAACTTTTTTCTGGTCTTATCAAAACAGATAACTTTTTTAAATCTTCTTCTTTTTTTTTTTTTTTTGGATCTTGACAAAGGAGATAATCTCTTCGATAAATATTTTTTTAAAATAGATATATATATATATATATATATATATATATATATATATATATAATAGTTGAATAAATTTTTTCTTCACAGGATAAAAAATAAATAAATTAATTAAAAAAATTCTACAAAATAAATTGCCTATTTTGACAGTACCATATATATATATATATATATATGAGATAATCTCTTCGATAAATATTTTTTTAAAATAGATATATATATATATATATATATATATATATATATATATATATATATATATAATAGTTGAATAAATTTTTTCTTCACAGGATAAAAAATAAATAAATTAATTAAAAAAATTCTACAAAATAAATTGCCTATTTTGACAGTACCAAATATATATATATATATATATATATATATATATTTGGTACTGTCAAAATAGGCAATTTATTTTGTAGAATTTTTTTAATTAATTTATTTATTTTTTATCCTGTGAAGAAAAAACTTATTCAACTATTTTTTTTCTCGTCAAAATATACTGTCAACAATTTGAGATTGAGTATTTATATATTTCTTGAATAGCAATGAAGAAAGAAAACATAATAATAATTTATCTCTTTACAATAACATAATAATAATTTACCTCTCTAAATTGTAAAGTTAAAGTTGATGTTAGAATTGCCATTTAAAACATAATATTGACTTGGACTGCTGTTGAAATACAGAGTTCTAAAAGGGCAGAGTCTTCAAGGCAAATTACCCCCCGAATTGGTGTGATTCCCTCATCTTCAAGAAATGTGAGTTACCCCCAAATTCTTTTTGATCCCTGCAATGCCCGTATATTTTCGTCTTAATTACCCATTTAAATAAATACTCAATCTCAAATTGTTGTACAGTGACCTTCCCCGTAACTACCTTAACGGTACTATTCCTCTAGAATGGGGTTACATGCAACTAGTGAACATGTATGTATACTATCAACTCCTCTCTCTCTCTCTCTATATATAATATATGTCTCTGTGTGTTTGTTACATATTGGAATTTTTCTTGTTCTTACAATGTATGACATGATGGTTAATTTTGTTGCAGCTCTCTCCTTGGAAACCGATTAACAGGTTCAATTCCAAAAGAATTTGGAAACATCACCACTCTCAAAGGCTTGTAAGATTTGGATATAACTCATTTCTTTCACATTTAGGTAAATGTGATAATAAATTATTCTCTTAATATGTTAATTTTGGTGGTTTTTAGAAGCCTCGAGTTCAATCAGCTTTCTGGAAGCATTCCTTCGGAGCTTGGGAGACTTCCTCTCATAGAGAGAATGTAAGACGCTTTCATCTGTTTTTAATTTTCTGGTGTTAGCTTTGAGTGAATGTGTACTTTATGATTGTGTGATTTAATTTTAGATGAAATATACTTATGAAGGTTCAATTTGAGATTTGAGATCAATTGACCATTGGCTTATTTATTTATTTTCTTGAAGGTTTCTAAGCTCAAACAATTTCTCTGGGGAGCTGCCGGGAACATTTGCAGACGTGACCACTTTGAAGGATTTGTATGTATCTAAAGTTGATTTATTTTTAGTTTTTACGTCTAGATACTTATTTATTTTATATTTTTAAAATCAATTGCTCAATTTATTCTTTTACACGTACATTGCAGTAGGATCAGTGACAACAACTTTACAGGAAAGATTCCCAATTACATCGAAAACTGGACAAATCTCAATAAATTGTGACTTTTACGTGTTTTAGTATTTCAATTTTTCTTTGGAGGATGTTCTCTATTTATCCATTCATTTAAACAAATTTATGACAGGGTGATTCAGGCTAGTGGTTTGGATGGGCCAATTCCTTCTGGAATTTTTCTCTTGGAAAATCTGACTGACTTGTAAGTAAAATCTTCTTTTCGTAGATTTATCCATTTTATGTAAAAATAATATCTAATGTGTGTTTATTCTTCATTAAAATAAAAACAAACGCGACAATCAGTGACTTAAATGGAAGTGTAGTGGCTTTTCCACTTCGTTGTAATATGAAAAACATAAAGACACTGTACGTTAAAGTTTCTATATTCTCTTATGGAATATATATTATTATTATTTTCCCGTGTTTTCAAGTGATATATATATATATATATATATATATATATATATATATATATGTTGAATATGTGGCTCAATTTGAGGCTTGTATCACCCATGACATCATCTTCTTGGCCTCCAAGTATATATGTTCATCAAGTTTTATTCTTGGCCTCCAAGAATGTGTGCCGAGCAAGTCTTTTGAGTGGTCACCAAGTATCCTCATTTTGGTGTCCCATTTTGGGTATAAATAGCCTTGCCCTCCATGATGTTGAAGCATCCCAAATTAATTGAGTGAGTTTATAATATCAGTTAGTGGGTGAGAGAGTTTGGGTATAATTGGGTTTTGGGTGTGAATCACGTTGCCTTGTATCTCTTTATTTCCATAGTGAAATATTGTTCTGTCTTCTCCCCGTGGATGTAGGCATAGCCAAACTACGTAAATTCTTGTCTCGTTTGTGTGTGCGCCTTTTTTTTTTTTTTTTTTTTTTTTTTTTTTTTCTTGTCATTATTTTTTTCTTCTTATTCTCATAAACTCCTATTCGATCCTTATTTAATAACAAACTGGTATCAGAGCTCGGATTCGTGTATTGTGTACAGATACTATTCACACATACGGTACTATTCACAGATACTATTCGGGTACTGTTCACAAATACGGTACTATTCACCGAGTAATTTTTTGGGGAGTTTTTTTGAGATGTAGACCAGATACGGGATTGAGAAATTTGATTGCAAAATTAGCTTCAGTCTTTGGCGCATTAAGATGCAGGCCCTGCTGACTCAGTAAGGTCTAAAGAAGGTGTTGTTCAGGAAGGACAAGTTGCCAACAACTATGTCCGATGAAGACAAGGATAAGGTCGATGAAAAGGCGCGTAGTTCGATTATTCTCAATTTAGCTGATGAGGTGCTGCGTGAAGTAATTGATGAAGACACGGCGGCAAAGTTGTGGCTGAAATTAGAGAGTCTGTATATGACGAAATCTCTTACTAACAGACTTTACCTGAAACAGAGACTCTAAACCCTTCGTATAAAGGAAGGTATGCCTCTTAAGGAGCATATTGATAATTTCAATTATATTATTATGGATTTGAAAAATAATGATATTAAAATTGATGACGAGGATCAAACCCTTATTTTGTTGCGTTCTTTGCCTCCTTCCTATGAGCATTTTGTTACCACATTGCTCTATGGAAAAGACACTATTAGTATGGAGGATATTAAATCCTCATTAAACTCTCAGGAGTTGAGAAAAAAGATGTCTGGGAATATTGAAGATGAACAGGTCGAGGGTCTATTTGCAAGAGGCAAAAGTGAGACAAAGGGTTCTGGTAGTAAGGGCAAATATAGATCTCATAAAAATGTGGAATGTTACTACTGTCACGAGATAGGGCACATCATCAAGAACTGTCCCAAACTAAAGGCAAAGAATGGGAATGGCAAAGAGAAGGTTCAAGAAGCAGCTTCTGTGGCAACTGCTACAACGAGTGATTCGAAAAGTGACGATTATGTTCTCATGACAACCTTGTGTTCAGGTATGTCATTTAATGACAGTTGGATTCTTGATTCTGGTTATTCTGTTCATATGTGTTCCAGTAGGGATTCTTTCTCTTCCTATAAAGAGGTGAAAGGTGGTTCGATTTTAACGGCGGACAGGAAAACTTTCAAAATTTTGGGAATTGGAACAGTCAAGATCAAGACGCACAATGGGTTGGTAAGAACATTGTTAGATGTGCGACATGTACCGGATCTGAAAATAAATCTTATTTCAGTAGGTGTGCTAGACTCCAAAGGTTACAAGGTTATAACAGAAGGTGGAGCAATGATGGTCGTGATGGATTCTCTTGTGGTGCTACAGGGCACCAAAGTGAAAAATTTATATCTTCTCCAAGGGAATATAGTAACAGGTGGAGCTTCTACAGGGTCTTCTATAGTTAGCAGAAATCTGCATTCGGGTTTTGGCAAAAGAAGTGTTCGAAAGAGGAGAACGATCCTAGTTCTCAAAAGGGTTGTGAGGGGACTACACAACGTGGTGGGAGAATGAAATCTGTTTTCAGATGGCAACCAAAATTGCAGCAGTCTTTACAGGGAGGCAGACCCATGAGGACAGGTGTGATATTGACTTGCAATAATCTAAGTGGCAATGAGATAGTCCATTCGAGTGCCATTAAGATGCGTGGGAGGCAAGTAGTTGGTCACAACAGAGATGCGAGGAAAAGTTAAGGATGTCCTATTCTCCACAAGGGTGAGAAGATGACTTTTCATTACCAGCCGGTGGTTTGTGGGCGGTTGGAGAAGGTTGCTAAAGGAGATGTCAAACTTGGAATTTCTGAGATTGCTTTTGGAAAGCATTTAGAGTTTGACACAAATACTGGAGGTATGCTTGTGGCTGCGCAAAACATGCATGGGTTGAAGAATGAGAGCCCGAGGGTTAAGTTTGAGGATGACTCAAACTTAACTAAAATTCTTAATTAATTTGTTTTGTGGAGAAGACAGTTTGTTTTGTAGAGATACATTGGCTCATTTGAATTTTCGCCAAGGTGGAGATTTGTTGAATATGTGGCTCAATTTGAGGCTTGCATCACCCATGACATCATCTTCTTCGCCTCCAAGTATATGTGTTCATCAAGTTTTATTTTTGGCCTCCAAAAATGTATGCCCAGCAAGTCTTTTGAGTGGTCACCAAGTAGCCTCATTTTGGTGTCCCATTTTGGCTATAAATAGCCTTGCCCTCCATAGTGTTGAAGTGTAATACCCCTTGATTCTAGAGCCACGGGTGATCAAGTCCGAGCACAGATCCGAGGGATATCAGACAATTAATATGTAACCAAGCAAGAATAAAACTGAATTAAGAATAAAATAATAATGCGCTGAAAGAAACTAAAATGAAAATCCTCAAACCTTAAATAATAATTTAATATAATTTAAATCCGTACAACTCGGGAATCCACCTGGTGGACCCCTAAAGACAAATCTTTAGACAAACTTACAGAATTAAAATCCAAAACCATAATAGGAAGGAAAACCTATGTAACCGGTAGAGTTAGTGTCTGTATCTGCATCAACACGATCAAACTCTAAGCTGGAACTGGCGAATACCTGAAAAATAGGAGTGGGTCAGGCCCACATGCAAGTTCCAATCTACTACAATCCGTACATAAACCCGATATGCAGATACATCCTAGATAGCTCGGCAATATCTACAATAGTCCATATATATATAAATACATACTATAGGATGCTCACTAGCCTATAACATAGTTCAGCCTGGGTACAAGGTGACATATAAAACACGCTTTTCAGCGGCCAAGTACCTAGACCTACCAGGGAACATTAGCTATATCTAGTTACCCAACCTTTGCAATATATGCACCCTAACCATGATCAGGGGACTCAAGCTCGTATCACGGTACCATAAATATATATATAAATTCCTTCCTAGTGCAGAGATAAAACAAATATCCATTATGTCGTTCAACTGTTTTAGTTGGCAGGACATGCATCCATGTAGGATTTAACTGTTTTAGTTAATCCATTCCTTATGTATGAAGGGGTAGGACTTAGCTTTTTGATCTAATCCATCCCTGATATGTCACCGTCCCATACCGGTACATATAATGCAAATGATCCTTGAATGATGCAACATTTTCAACAGTTCATCAAATCATACCCACGTAATCCAAATAGTTGATATACAGAGTTTAAACAGTTCATCAACTTGCAATCCAGAATCCATCCATGTAATTAACGAGACAAAATTTACTAATTCATCAAGTTAAGATCCAGTATCCATCGATGTCATTAACAATTTAATCCATTTAATTAAATTTCAACTAACCCATAGTACAGTCCAGCAGTTGACAATATTAACAATAGTAAGACTAAATTATAAAGCTGAGAATGCCAAACTATAACTCAGAAAAATCCACAGTACTAACCAATAGTTGCTGAAACATAAAGAACAGTTTAACCATTAAAATAACAATCTCCATTTAATTAATGGAACCTAATTTATTAGTTCCTTAATTAAAATCCAACCTATGCACAAATAAGGTCTAATAAATACATGACCCTATTCTGTATCTAACATAGATTTTAGAACCATCCTCCAGTCATCTAAGTTGTTAAATTAAGTTTACACAACTAGATACTTTATAATCACCAACAATGTGCGTCATTACTTAAAACTCCCACACTGTGAAAACCTTTAGCATATTAGAATAAATTATGCATTGTGAGTCCTAATATAGCATAATATCCTGTTTAGACACCATGCAACAGTCCGTTAAATTTTTAAAACAAGACTTAGCGAAATAGTCCTTCCTATCCGTTAGCAGCGTACAAAGTCGCATATTTTTACTTGTACCATTGTATACTTCCCTACAGTTAATTCCATGAGTACTAAGACATTAATTTATTAGAAGTGGCTCTAATATAGCATGGTGTAATGTTTGAAATCCATGTTCCAACTCTTTTAATTGCTAGACACAGTTTAAGCAATTAAACCTTTACAATCCGTTATGTCCGTAAACAGTCTGCGACTTGTCTTAGATTTTCCCACCGTTTAATACATTAGCATATAAATAAATTAATGCATCCTAGGGCTCTAATATTTCATGAATTAATTTATAACTTCATCTTCCTAGCCCAAACACAGCTCAGAAAAAATCACCAACGAGCCAAACAACGCACAAACCACTCCAGTAAGTACATAGAATCACAGAGCCTGCTCTTAGAAACATAGAGCAGGCTCTAACCTGCATAGAGCCGGCTCCCATAACCCTTGGAGCTGGCTCTAATAGAGGGGGAGCTGGCTCTTTGCTTCCTAGAGCCGGCTCTCTCTCTTTGAGAGCCTCCTCTGCTTCAACTGCTTCGTTCTGCTTCGTCCAGTTGTCGTCTGTGATTCCGGCGAAGTCCAGTGTCCTATTCCAGACCTTTTTAAGATTATTAGGGTTCCGTTAAAGCTCTTAAACCCCTAAAGACTCCTCCTATTCCAGTGTGAACCAATTGACAAAAACTTAAACTACACACAATAGCTTATGCAAGAATAAGTTTGAACGTTAAAAAAACACAGAACAGATTACCGAAATCATCTAGCATGCATAAAGTCCATTTTTAAACGTTTAATTAAGTTCCTGGAGTCTATATAAGATGCACAGAACATAAGTTTGCAGGAGAGGAATAGACTGAAACTTGCCTTTAGGTTTCGGTGTGAAACCTTAAGCGTCGTCTCTAAATTTAAGTTTCAGAATTCTCTAAGTTTGTTTCCCCTCTGCTCTGCTCACAGTTCCCTTCCTCTATTGCTTCTTGGTTCCATCCAGAAGCAGCCCCTCTGTTCTTCCTCCAGTCTTCCTCCTTTAGCCTCACAGATTATATTCCAAAACTCTCTCTGTTTTCCTCTAAAAGAAACTATTTCGTGAATAGGGTTTTTTTTTTCCCTAATAGACGTAAAAGAACATAAATATATATAGCCGTCTATAAAACCCTAACCCTAATTCCAATCCTAACATGTGACGGCTAAAACTCACAAAAGAAAACCCTAAATTTACACTATATATAAAACCAAATAAAACAAATAATCCATTTAAACCATAAATTAATCAAATAATTAAATTAACTCACAAATAAAACAATTACAGTAAAACCACAAACTAATCAGATAATTTAAATTAAAACAATTTCAATTCAACAATTAAATTAAACACATAAATTATAATTAAGCAATTAAGCAAAACAAATAACAAATAAGTCCAATTATTAAATTAAAAAAAAAAATTTGAAATACAAATCAAAATTGAAAATTAAATTCTCATTCCCATTTTATCCTTTTGAAAACTAGGGGTATTACATTTTTCCCCCTTAACAAAAGGAATTCCGTCCTCGGAATTCACAAAAATCTGAATTAATGTCTTTGCAAAATTCATTTCCGTTTTCGTGTGGCACAGCCCCTTTAGATGAGCGCCACCCAAATTCCAACATATCCAACCATATACAAGATTCCTATGTTTAAGAAATAGCATAAATGTGCAACTCCTAGATCGTATCTAGCAACGATCCAATCTTACCCAATATTTAATGAAGGGTAACCATCCCTCGTCCTTCCAATTCCATAGAACTAACATATAAAAGTCCTATGCATCCAGCGCTTAACAAGTTGGTAACGCTAAACAATAGGCTACTGCCGAAACCAATAACCAAAACCCGTGAAGATTCAGTGCGATACATAAAACTGACTTTCCTCCAAAACACATTGCTTCCGATACGGAAAACCGCTCAAATAACCCTTCCCTGATAGAAAACTCCCATGTATGAGTTCAACTAGCTACAAAATCCGACTGTCGCCTCTAAACCGTGAGCACTCATTACCAAAAGAGAGCATGGTTCTCCAATGTATCCTTACATAAAGTCAAGGTCTTATTAGATAACCTCGCTTCCATGTCGGACCAACCAATAAGAGATCGACACAACCCAACTATCTAAAATCCCAAACATTGTCGCACGAACCTCCTTGTGCCAATAATAGCACAGATAATATCTGAAACGGTAAGTAACGCTTTCAATTACCCATGCCAACCTAGGATATATATCCTAAGCATATTTGCCATGATTAAATAGAATATCACGATCCCATTTCCCATCTAGAGATGCGAAGCATAGTTGTTGCTCCAACACCTTCAGAAAGCTCCTTTGACATAGCACCGGTTATCTTCCATATTGAATAACCACATGCTATAACTCCGTTATCAGCGCAATGTACAACTGATAAGAAATGCCAAAGTAAACTCCACTAAAGTGTAGTCCATAAGCGAACTTGCTCTATCCACTACTCTTAAACCATACGGAATTAAAATTCCAACAAATGTCAGTAATTTCTACCAACCATCCCCTCCTGATTAGTCCTACTCCCATTTCGATATAAGAAAGGACTAAAACCTCCAGTGATATCCAAGTATCAATTTTCCACCTTATTAACAGATGATACTCTTGGAGACAGTTATTGATCGGTTGATCAATTATACATCAACCTTCGCAATAGCACGAATCATTGTAAAATAGGGCTATTGGTCGGGTAAGTCGAACCACTAGGACTGCGCTAGTCTAATACAACCTAAATGTCTAGAATCATTCTTAGAATGATGAAGGGTTTATAGAGGTTTTGTTGGATGTCACTTAAGCTAGGAAATTAAAAGTGCATAAAACACTAATTTGCAAGGAATTTAGGATGAAAAGATTAAGAAGAGGAGACTAGGGAAGTGAATCCACCTCCATCCCTATACATATGCTAGCTTAGACCTAAATTGGGAGAAATACAACATATGATGGTCAAGACTTACATAGCAACACATGGTTGCCATATAAGTAATCAAGAGGTACATTAGGTCTCAAACAAGTATAATCCATCAAAAGATAAACATGCTTAGACTACCTAACTAAGGTGTAGCTTATACACATTTACTTAAATGAGAGACTATCAAGTTCTTGACAAAATGATAAAGCACATGGAGTTAGAGATTAAGCATACACCATCAAAGGATTTCCTAAGCAATGGTCTATCAAAGTCACCTATCAACATGCCATGAAACCATTTCATAACCTTGCTTCCACTCTCACCATGAAAACTCAAGCAATATGATTACTCTAAGACATCATCTAAAACAAGATAATCAACTTAAAGAAATCATCCATACATGTATCAACATTCATTACAACAAATGAGGTGCTCTTGGTTATGAAAAGACCA